GACTTTATTATTCTTCCTTAATATTTGTCCATCTGAATAATCTGCTCATTATTACTTTTAGAACCTTAATGAAGATGTAAAAAAAGAGCCCAATTTTAAGCTCTGTAGACATAGTGTTGTACCAGTTCTTTGATTATAAACCTAAATTTCTATTGTTAATGAAATTTTCAGTGGATACAAAAGTGCTCGTTTTCAAACTAATTTGAATTAATTTTTCAAAGTATATGGCATGATATCATAGCCTTAAAATTTCACAGCAGTTCCAAGAGTCTTAAACATCACTGTATTATGATTATATAAATAACCTTTAATTTTGCATATCTGTTCTCCTAGTTAAGCTGTTTTCTTAACTCGAAGAATCAAATGTTCATAAAGCAAATGTCAAGTTGAAATTAATATGTTTAGAGATAAGCAGTGTGATGGTGAAGTACAGTCATCAATAACTAAATGCCACCCAAGAAAGACTTCCTGTACCAGGAACATTTAAAGACCACTAAAAAAACTGCTGGGTTCCAATCTTCTCTTATTTACCTTTCCCAGGCTATGAGTGTACTGCAGCTTCTTAGGGTCTGGAGCAGCGGTTCTCACCCAAAGGATTGTGACAATGAAAATGCATTGCGGCATTAGGAAGGCTGAGAACCACTGCTTCAAAGCAATCTTTTATTTTTTTCTAAATTATAAACATACTGTGGTATAAGTTTCCAATCTATGTTTGATAAGTTATAAATGTATATTTCTTAGCTTAGTGTTTGATGCAGAAATCTAGTAAGATCAGGGAGGCCTATCACTTTCACTAGTAAACCTGTACTCTTCTATGAAATGCCAGGAATATTAAACTAATTATAAAATATTATAGATTTAAATGGCTTTTCTTTAGTTTTTGACTCTGTGGGAAGCTTTTATATTTTACTGTTAATACAGATCATAGACTGCATCTGAGCCTAGAGAATGTTGGTAAAATGGTCTCTTGATGCTTTAGACTAATTTTCAAAATGAGTAAAATGAGTATACATTCTTGTTTCCCTTCTTATATCTTTAATTCATACCTAAATAATATGCTTTCATGTCCAGATGATCTAGAAATGCAGGCATTCTCTTTTAATAAATATGACATGGTTTTAGCATCATAATCTAGCAGTAGCCTTAATTTAAAAAGTGACTCTGCTCTCTAATCCTAGAAGAGAGAAGGTTTCTAAATCAATTACTTTAAAAAGAAAGTTGCCATCCTTGGAAATTATTCTCCTATTTTACTGGTTTATAAATAATCTCATATTTAAATGTCTAGAAATATGTTTTGGAACAACTTTACATTGAAGTGTCTAATAGGAAGATGTTTTACTTGAAGCTTTGGGTATTTTACTGGAAGCAAAATAAACTAAAATGAAAACATTGTTGGTTGAAAAATATATTCAATTATAACTACGTAAAACTTTCTCTCTAGGTTAAAATTAAATTGACCTTGCTTTGAGGTAGAATTCTGAATATCTATTATCTATCTATCTGCCTACCTATCTATCATCTATCTACGCCCTACTTCTTTCATCAGGGACCAATAATAATTACTTTTTCAGAAAATGTTTGACATGGATATTTGTTGATCTCCTCTGTTCAGGCAAACAACTTTGTTAATTAAATTCTTTAATTATCCTAAGAAGATAAAAGTTCAAGTTTCATGGACTAATTGCTATAACTAATATCTACATAGAACTCAATATTTAAAGTGGATGTACTATAGGTGCTTATCAGAATATAATCTTGAACTATTACACAATACCTTTCAAAAAGTCAACTGAGAGAAATAACATATAGAGGAGAGCTTGTGTGCTACAAACTGCACCACATCAGCAATTATTAAAAGGAAAAGATTTATTCCCTGTATTAGTGAGAATAAGCTTGACTAAGGTGCAGTAACGAGGGGCCCCATTTCTCTGTGCTTATAGCCAGAGATTTATCATTTATGCAAGAAATATATGTTTGTTATGGTCATCTGAGCTTTTGCTACACATTTTCTTCACACTGTGATCTGGGTTGACCGTAATCTCTATTTTGAGCACTTCAATTTTCATACTACAGGTAAGGGAGACATGGGGAACAATAAAAAATGGCTGTTATTGTTCATGTCTGTAAGCTCCATATATTCTGCCCACATTTCATTGTCCAGTGCAAGTCACCTGGGCATTTCTGAATTTTATATCACAAGGATATATAATGCTTCCCTAGAGAGGGTTACCATAGGAAGAAAAAATCAGAATATTTGGTAAAGATTGACATAATTTCCTATTCCCCTTTTTGGGAGGGGTATATTTCTTGAGAAGAAGAGTATGTTTTTCCAACACTTAACCTATCCACTAGAATCTGATATGATCCATGAGGGGAATATGCCTACATACCAACACATGGAGAATTTTGGCCAAGTTGAAATTAATATGTTCAGAAATAAGCAGTGTGATGGTGAAGTACAGTCATTAATAACTAAATGCCACCCAGGGAAAACTTCTGCACCAGGAATATTTAAAGACCACTGAAAAAACTGCTGGGTTCCAATCTTCTCTTATTTACCTTTCCCAGGCTATGAGTGTACTGGTGCCTCTTTGTGTCCAGAGGTTACTGAGCTACCATTTTTGTTAATTACATAATTTCTATCTGTTGGTTTTGAGCAGAGCAGGAGAAATGATGAGTATCATTATTCTAGATATGTTAATCATAAACACTTGGTAAATGAGACCAAGTAAAACCATGAATTTACACTTAAAATTTTGCTCTAACATGGTATATGTCCTGTATACTCACATTTTAGTGGTCAGAGCAAGTCACATAACCAATCCCATTCAATGGAGCAAGGATATAAAAGGATATACAATTCTTTTACGGTGAAGGAAAGAGTATCTGACTATGGGTGAAAAAGTAGATACTTAAGGGAAGAGTCGTATCTCAATGTGTTTACATTGCTAGAAATAATGATTTGGTAAGCTTAAAACAAACTTTTAATTGTTTATTACAAGTAGTTTAGGAATTAAATCAAGAAAATGACTGTAGAAGATGGGCAGGATAGACCAGAGACTGGAGAGATGTGCATCAATAGCAGCATGGACCCATTCAGATTATGACTGCTATACTGAAGTTTCTCCAGCTGGTTGTAAGAGCCACAGCCATGGTCTGGCCCATTAAAGTATAAAAAAGGCATTGTTAAAGTTCTGTCTTTCCCCTAGCATGACCCAGGAGGTGGCACAGCTGCTCTGTGCAGGTGAGTTAATGCTGGGAATTGGAGACAGTTACAGATAAGAGTCCAGACAGGCTGGATATTAGCAAGAATGTCTTGTCCTGCTGAGAGACAGCCTCTTGCCAAGGTGAGAGACAGTGTCCTCTTTCTCCCATTTCTCAGTATGGCATGACCAGGCTTGTTCTCACAAATTTCCAGGTGTCTAATTGCTCCTGGAAGAATTTGTGTGCGTGGTCTGAATAGGGTCTGCTGCTGGTGTCCTGCCTCTGGACTGGGTCACTCTGTTTCATGCTTTGTGTTTGAATCATAAATAACTTAGAATGAGATAAGAAGTAAATCAGTTTGATTAAGGTAGCTAGTTTAAAGCATAGTTTAATTGGGAAATACAAGCCCAGCAACAACTATGATGTAAGGGTCTGGCCTTATATATATGAAATAAATATACAGCCGGCCCAGAGTCAGGGTCTTTGCTGGATCCTCACAGTAATGAGCAAAGATCCCTTGGCCCACGCTGTTCTTAAAAATTTGAATCTATGTCTGTCTTTTCATTTTCCTTCATTATTCTGTCTCTGCCAAGCACTGGCAAAGAACCATTGTGAAGTTTGGGGCTGGTTCCACAACATTTAACAATAATAAATCTATCCCACCATTTTTGACAAATATTTATCTTATTACAACTTGATTATTTATCAAAGAAAGATTAAGCATGGTATTTCCATTTCCTCACAGATAATCATACAATAAATATTTGCTGAATGTGTGATAGAAAGCTTGATCCAAATATACAAGTTGCATAATTTTCTCAATCAATGGAAATTCACAGATCTTGTGTGTACATACTTTATAATCACAGGAGGTACTGATTTCCATGGTCTGTCACTTTATATATTGTTTCTTTCATTTGAGAAGGAATCGTATTTAACATTTCCAACTCATGTTTGAACAACAGACACTTTTCAATGGAGTAGAACAATTTTTACTTTTGTTAGGAGCAGTTTTTTCTCCAGAATTTCTCATATACAATGAAAAGAAGAATATAGATTTTAGGGCTAGGGAGCAAATCTGATGTTAAATTTTAGTGATACCACTTCTAAGCTTGTCTTCTTCCAGATTCATTTTTGTCTTCTTGGAAATGGGTGAAATACTTAAAATTACTGAGTTGGTGTGACTATAAAATGAGATTATTTGTAGGAGACTTTGTATAGTATTATAACAAGCACTTAATATATGTTCATTTGTCTTTCTCTCTATTCTGGTATAGCTGAAAGAGTAAATAAAATTGTCTATCTTTATATGAACATGTTGGGACATCTAGTTGTACTAGTATCACTAATTGTATAAAAATCTTGCAAAAATTTCAGAGGGTCATATTTTCTTCTTCCTACTCCTAGAAGTTAACTTAGAGAAATTTTAAATATCTTTTACAATTATCTTCATAATGTCCTAGAGAAAAAAGTAATTTAGTAAAAAATTGAGAGATTTTCTACAACTTTGAGGTTAACCACACAAACAAGTGGATGGACAGTCTTTCATGTTGTGACCATATGAAAAAGATGGTAGTAGATAATCTCTTATGTCGTTTTCAACTCCATGAGTCTATATAAATACACACAAAGTTTTCACTAATTTTACAGTAAATGTAAAGCTTATTATACCAAAGCACAAGCCATTGTCACTAATTCATTATTTGATATTAACGATGTTTCCATTAATCTTGCCAATTTACAGAGAGTACTAATTACCCCCAATTGTTTTTTTTTTTTTTGAATCTCATAGTAGGTTTTATTTCAGTGATCAAAATAATGCAGTAAATAGAATCTATACTGATTTAACATTAGACATGCACTTCTACCTGAAACTCTATTAATTTTTGACTGGCCTAAATCTTTACAACTTATTTAGGCACATCTTTAAATTATCTGTGCCCTGATATACAGGGTAAAGTTAACTTCTTCCTTGTGGCTGTCAGTAATGAGAACTATGTTCACAAGATAGATTCTTTTGTAGTTAAAGGCCTCTAGACTCTGACTTCCTGTAATACCGTGAGACCATACTTTAATATAAATCATAGTATAGGGAGGGAAATAATCTAGAATGCTTAAGTGCACTGTATGAACACTCTATAGATCTTTTTTCCAACAATGATAATCGACCACTAGATAAGGAGGCCCACAGTTAAGTGCCAAATTATCCTTCCCCCACTGCCATACTTTCTGAAAGACACAATGCTCTCCCCAGAAATCTGAAATGAATCCACGTAAGTGAGAGATTTTACCTATGTAGTCCCACTATCAAATTACAGAAAGCAGTTCCTCTATCAAAATTACAGGAAGCAGTTAAGGGGACTTTAAGAAAAGCATAGTCCCATACACAGTAATACACATCTAATAGTTTTCCATTATCTGTCAATTATTTTCACAAGATTGGCATTAAAAAACACAACCAAATACACATATAACCCTCAAGGCCCCCCCCACAAAAATTGGTCTTTGTTCATTCTCAATGATGATATGATGTCCCAAGAGTGACAAAAGGTGGGAGCCAATCTCCCCATAGCCATTTCTTAAATAATTTCATAAACAGCTCTTCATTTCTTGAACTACCTTCCTCTTCCAAAAAGGTAAAGCTGAGATCAATCAGAAAGGCTTTCTGAGAAGACTGGCTTGGATTTCTGGGTCTGTTCCAGTCGGTTCAAGATGAATTGGCTTGTATCAATGAAGCGCTCAACGCAGTTCACAAAACAGGCCTCAGCCCGACTGTCCAACTTTGGCCCAGGCTTGTCCATGCACTTCTCCTGCTCAGGATAAGATACAGAATCACAAGGGGAACTTGGAAATTAAAATAAAAGAGGGGGGTTTTATTTCTTATTGCTTAGAGGTAAAACTTCACCTAAGAATAGTATCAAATATGTTAGTAATAGCTCACATTTAGCAGCTTACCAAGTATGGAGCAATTTTCTCAAATACATTAAATTCTCACAACTCTATGGAATAGATACCATTATAAACTCTCATTTTACAAACAAAGAAACAGTGGCATAGAGATACTTTGCCCAAAGTCATAGGGCCAGAAAATGGTAGAGTTATTACAGAGCAAGAAAAATGGCAAAATACAAATGAAGTAACTTTTTGCTCAATTTGGTTGGATCTCCACAATGCTGCTTGCATTAAATGCCTTTCAATTAACTGCAGAATAAAAGGGTGAAAGGATAAATCATTACAGCAAGGCACCGTAACACCTATCAAAGGAAAAAAAAGTCAATGACCTGAGATTCTGTAATCTTGTCTACTTAATCCAGAAGTTCTTGAATCCTCTCACAATGAATGGAAAATTGTATGAATTTTCCTAAAGGGCCCAAAGCTTACAGAGTATTAAAGGAGTCCTTAATCACACCCACTTAAAAGAAGGGAATCACAGACTTTTAGAAAGAATTAAAGCATTCTGGTCCAAGGCAGACCAGCATTAAATAAACATTTGATAAGTAAGTTTATGGGAAAAAGACTATGGAAACCAATGACTGTACATAGTTCGAGTTAAGTTAAAAAATTTGGTTTATTATTCTCTTCAGTGTATACAAGCCTCGGACTTTCCAATGCCAGGAAAAATAATCCTGGACCTCTGATTTCTGTGAATTTTGTACATCAACGGAGAACAGTATATTGTCCTTGGCAACCAGAACACTTTGACCTCAAGCTGCAAGTGCCATCCACCCTTTTGTCAAAGTTCCCTCACAGGGCAGACTCAAACTCCTCAACCTTCAGACCTGAAACAGCTTGGTATTACACAACAATCCAACAAGAAGACAAATAAGTGTGTATGTTGGAAGAGATTACGCCACTTTTATAGTTAGTGGACTAGAGCCACTCATTTCTTCCCAGGGAGAATTACAACTGGATAGTCAAGGTAAATCTCAAAGAGTCCAGGAATAGTAGATTCACTGATTCACTGACTTTCCGGGACTCGAATTCCCAAAAGTAAAATCCCTGCATTGGGGGCTCTGATCAGTCTTGGTAACCAGTAGTAGGTAGCTTCAACCTAGGGTGCCAGAAAGCGATGGGTGGGACAGCGGCAAGTCTTCTTTGATCCACAATCCTATGGATCAACAAAGCCAAGGTCCCGACTGACAGTCCCCTGAGAAGTGGAGTCACCCTTCTCCCTTCTGGGTCGGCCAGAGGAAACCTGAGAAAACCAAGGGGTGCTGTCAGGGCCATCCCCATCCCGAACCCCGACGTCGTCGATAGCCCCACGGGGTAAGGACAGGGGTAAAGTACAGTCCAGGTCCCAGCCCCAGGATTCTCACCCAACAAAGTTCGGTCATCTGGTGCACCAGTTGCTGGAAGCGCTGCTTCTGAGTCTCCACCTCAATGAAATGCTGCAACTGCGGGTCCACGGCACCCAAACCCGCCGCGGAAGAAGACGAAGAGGAATCCATCCCAGCGCGACCACGCGTGCGGAGACCAACTCCGCACCAACTCACCGACCATTACCCCCAATTGTTATCTTCATTTTCTGATTCATCATTTATGTCCTCATTAAATGATGATTTAATAATAGCCAAACTATTTTGAAACATAAGATACAACTTTGAGGAAGATCTAGGCCCTGCTGTAATTCCAGGCTCTATCCTATTTGAAAATGTTAGACCCAATAGAACTTTAAAGAAATCCTAATTTCTGCCTCCTCACCAAATTATGGAAGTATAGCACATGTGTCTCTTAGGGATGAAACATGAAACAAAGGCAGTTCTTGAAAGAAGAATGATGTTTTTGTGTCAATTACAGAGTCAGATAAAATATTCAGGGTAGCAACTGGATGTGGGAAAATGCTCATGTGTGTGGTCCGTAGAGCGTTTTATGTTCTCTTAGCTTAGTGATCGTGAGAGCAGATACAGTGGAAATGTGAGGGATGTAGGAAAGCAGACACGATACCTTTGGCGGTTCTTGCTTCAGAAAATCTCTTGGTGAAATAAGGATGGCTTGACTCTCCCTGCAAAGGTATGAAAATGACAGAACATCATTTTCCTTGTACATTTCCAGAGGAAAGCTTGAGAAATCATGTGGCTTCTAAGTGATTTATTTAGACAAGAGTGTGGGGAAGGGGAAAGAGGAGAGAGAGAGAACTCAGAAAGTCAGAAATCAAGCGCAAAGTGGATCTATTATTTCTGAAAAGATGGGTCCATTTAGTTTTTCATATTTTAGTAGATGTACTAGTTACCGAGACAGTCCCATGAGGCCCCTCTTGAGACTTCAGAAGAAGCAAAAACTCAGTAGCAAAGGGAAGGGAAAAACATGTGTCCTCCCAGCGCTACAAAGTGAAAGGATGGAGCTGCTGCACAGAACTCAATCTGCAAGGCCAGGGGCCAGAGAATCCCTCCTTCCCAAATCAAAGCTGAGAAACCAGTTATTCTGACCACCAGCATTCAACACAGAGCTTGTCTTTAACTTTGTAAACGGTTCAGTTGAAAGATGAGCAGAACTGGGGAGGCTGAAAAGGAACTATATTTTCTTTGAAACGTTAAATATAAGAAATTGCTGAAGGAAATAAAGTTATAAAATTCTTAAACTTCAGAAAATTTGGCATGCAGGGTTCTGCCTTGAACTTTTGCTGTAAGTCCTCTCCTGCCCTCTTTTCATTCTTCTCCCTTTCTTATACTTTTATTCTCTTTTTGCTGAGCTCTTTGGTTATAGGTCCTCACCACTAGCCCCTAAGGCTCTTGGGATCTTAGAATTTTAGTTTCTCCCTGAGAAAGTCCAAAATGAAATGATTTTCTTCAAGAGAGTTTGGAGAGCAGGGGCAGAAGATGAATGACAGTTGTATTTCTCTGCTTTGCACTGAAGGAATACTCTGTATTTTAAAGGTTTTAGAGATGGAGCATGTTTGTAACAACTGTCATTCCAGAAAGCAGAGCTGAGTTTTCCGTGTCACAAAAACTGTGTAACCGATGAAGTGCTCAGGCAACGTGGCATAGGAAAGTGATACACAGTAATGAGATCATGAAGCATTGCACTTGAAAGAGCCCATTGTGCATCATGCACTGGAGATAATCCTGTCATTACAATTCTCAGAAGAGTAGCAACCTGTTGCCAACAACAAAACTGCAGATCTGTAGAAAAACAGGTCATAGGGGCACAAGCAATTCCCTGCCACACCTTTAAAACCAGTTCTAAACTCTGCTGTCCAGAAGACCTTCCATTAATACTGCTATTTTAGTATGAAAATAAATTAATCTGACATTTCTTTCCTGTGCTTGTGCTTTGTTGACAATGTGATCATTTTTATCCATTTAAACGTTGCTTTGAGAACCTTTCTCATTTTTCATTTTCATTTCTTCACTGCATGCGTACTGTGAGTAACCAATTGTTTTTATACATTTTAACAAGGAGAAGCCACGCTTTTTATTTTCTTTGTCTGTCTCCTTTTCTAGGACAGCGGTCAGCACTGCAAAATTGAAGACTTGAATAAAAAGCAAAGATAATCTCATGAAAAATGACAAAGAGGCCTTTGGTTGTGAGCTCTCATAATGAGTTCATATGAGGGTTGTCCAGATTGTCTAAATGTTACAGATTCCACCTCAGAAGGAAACCTTGGCTTCACTTTCAGCATTTGAACCATATAAGGAAGCAAAGGAACAGGGAGAATGTGGGGAGAAGAGAGGAGGAAAAGAATCTAAATGTTCCTGACCGACCCTTTCCGTGTTTGTACCACTTCTTGCAACAACCATTACTGTATGACTTTGAAACTCTTCTTTCTTTTTTCTCATTTTAACATAATGGAGTATATAAAAGATTGGCCTCTTTATTTTAATCCATGCCCTAGCACTTACTAACTATAACACTGTACAAATTGCTTAAATTTTCTGTGCTTCAGTTTCTTTATTGTAAAATGGGATTTAAATAGCATCCACTTCATAGTGAATAAATGAGCTAGTATACGTAAAATGGGACTATTACTTGGCATGCAGTAAGTGCTCAATAATCACAGATGTCATTATTACAAGTTGGGTCAGGAGCAGGACATAGTGCTGACCAAGATGACAATTGCAGGTTATCCCCACTGATGGGGAAAATAGATATTTTGTACAATAAGAGTAAAGTAATCGTGAAACAAATTCCTGTCTTATCAATGAGATGGAAGGCTTAATATTAAAATTGTCAGTATCTGGTCATCTTTAAACATATAAAAAATGACAATAAAAATTATTTTATAACATAATATCTACCACAGGAAGCTCTTGACAGTTACACCACTAATCCATTTTCTAATCATCAGCTACTACTTACTGAAGCAGAGGTTCCTTTAGAGACCTTATCTCCAGCTCATTAAATAATTGAGGGAAATAGAGTTTGCACTTAGGAAGAACAGAGAAGAATTTAAGAAGGCACACCATTGTTCTTGGACAATGCCAAGGGGAAAGATGTGCTGAATTGTTATTTGAGGTGAAACACTGTTCAATACAAAGAAAGGGGTACTGTTGTAAAAATGAATCCTTACTCCAGACTGCTATACTTCAGATAATAGAGAGCAGGGTAAAGAATATTGAATTGTGTATTTCTTGATTTACTCATGTTTCTTGGAGATGGTTTGTAAATATATATGGCATGTAAACATATGAGAGGATACATAAAAACATAAAGAATATTATCCTTTTCATTTTTATCTTACGTATGAATCAGCAAAAATTTACTAGGTAAATGTTGATGTCAGGTATTAGTACATCATTGTAGCCTTAAGAAAAGTATCACAGATTCTTGGAAAGATCTAAAGCCTCAGAAGATAGCTGTGCAATGAGAAATACAACAATGAGAAAAAAGTAGTAAATAAGCAAAAAGTAATGCCACTGAGGGAAACCCGATTTAGACAGCAGCATTTTATATGACCATAGTATTTTCTCAGGGGACTCTTAACCTAGACTCAAAATTACTTCAATGGTTAATGTGGTTTAACTGGCCCAATCCACTCTCCTTAGTAACCTGAAAAAAATCATTAAGTCATAAAGCAGAATAACTAAGAAAATGCTATGAAGGCTATATAAGTATTTCAAATTGTACATAAAAACCAGTGCATTGTACCCCCTAATTACATTAATGTACACAGCTATGATTTAATAATAAAAAATCATTAAGTCAAGATTTTATGAAAATAATGAAAGCATTAATTGCAGATAACTAATCCTGCATGAGAACAAGAGTTGTGTAGGTTATGTGATGAAGCCTGTATATCTCCTACATGTTTGCAAAGTTTTAAGCTAAGCATAGGAGGCCTTTGGGTTTATTCTAAAATTTCTTTACTAATTCTTTTTGTTTTTATTTATGAACTTTAAATGAAAAATAAGAATCTATTTATCATTACAGAATGTTGTTTTATACTAATTCTTAGATAATTTGTTCAACATTTTCAATTTTTTGCCTTTTCTAATTCTTAGACTATACATTTTCCTCAAGTTATCACTTTTTACTTATTCAGTAAGCTTTCATATGAAGAATTTTGATTAATAAACAGTACTAAGCATTTTAAAATTTCTTCTTTGATTTTTTATTTTCTCCATGAGTTGATTGTCTAAATGTAAGAAAATTTTCAAGGTTTTTCTTTTGTTTTTGTTATTGTCATCAAGCTTGATTGTATTGAGATCAGAGAATGTGGCTTATATTATTCTCCCCCTCTCTTTTTTTATTTTTCAGGGCAAAAAAAGAGAGATTTTTATGTAGGAAGAACAAAGAGAAAATTTAGAGCACTTCTGAAAAGAGTTGGAATTCTCCCTCATGAAGGAGAAAAGGTGAGAGAGACCATGTTATTCTCATTTTATTTTTATTTTTATTTTTAGAGACAGACTTTCATTCTGTCACCTTCAGTAAGAGTTCTGTGACATTGCAGGTTACAGCAACCCCGAGCTCTTGGGCTTAGGCGATTCTCTTGCCTCAGCCTCCCGAGTAGCTGGGACTACAGGCACCAGTCACAACTCTTGGCTATTTTTTGTTGCAGTTTGGCTGGGTTCGGGTCCGAACCTGCCACCCTTGGTATATGTGGCTGGCGCCCTACTCACTGAGCCACAGGTGCCTCCCATGTTATTCTCATTTTAAGAAATTTTTAAAGACTTGCTGTTTAAATTACCTGCTGAGGTATAAAAAACTATTTTTAATATATCATCATTTAGTGAGTCAAAATTTTAGATAGAGCTCATCTGGATAATTCTTTTGTTCCATGTGGCATCAACAGTTGGGCTGGTCTAGATGATTTCACTCATGTGTCTGGTATTTTGGCAAGGATGATTGAAAAGCAGGAGTCATTTGGGACAGTTGACCAGGGGACTAACATGTGATGCTCTAACTTGGTGACCTAAGGTTAGGTGGTCTTCTCATCTTGAGGCTCAGTAATCCAAGAGCAAATGAGGCAGAATTGGCATGCCATTTCATAATTTATTCTTGAAAGTCATAGAGTGTCATTTCCATTATATTCTAATTTTCAAATACAACTGCTCCCTGAT